GATATATTTCTCGTAAAGAGATAAAAAGAAAGAAGAATAATAAACTAAGTAAGTTTTACTTCCTATTTGGAATTTGCGTAATTTTATCTTCGCCTGACTCCTATTGCCCTTTTCTTTCAAGTTTAAAAAATTTAAGTAAATACAGATCTGAAATTTTTGTTGGATCAAAATAATTATGTAGAACATAATAAAAAATGCTGTAAAAAGTTTTAACATTTTAATAAATAATTTAAACGTTCTACATAATTACTTTGATAGTCCAACAAAATTATTTTTAAATCTGTATCTGACTTAAATAAATATTTTAATAAATTTTTTAATATTTCAGCAAAATCATTCTTTCCGTGCATTATCCTCATATCAAGACGCTCTTCAGTGAGTCTTTTGTGTTGAGAAAATTCTCGACATCCTTTAACGTCATATCCAACTCGAACACGATTTCTCGTGCATACGTTATTCCTTCGTCTATTTTCAGAGTCTCTTCAAGGTTTATGGGACTGATTTCTATGTAAATTTCTATACATGTTATCATCTACATCGCCGCTTATTCTTTTTGCTTCTTCACTAATGATTCTTCTAATGGTAAACGTCGCGCCATCATTCTTTTTTACAAAGATGGAGAATTTCGATAAACACTCGAAAATTTTCTCAATTTATTTTTTGCCGTTTTTGAGGATTTTATAATAAATTAGCAAAATCTCTCTCTGCCATTATGTTTTCATCATTTTTTTTACTGATGCTTTCTTGTAAATAATTTGTCGTAATTTTTTGTAAAAATATCTGCAGACTTGTCAGAAGAAACAGAAGTCGTATTCTTGTGAAAAATCTTGACAAAATCTTGTTATAATTGTTTAGATTATATTGTTTAGATAAATGAGAAATCTTCCTTTATGTTTCTGATAATCGAACTAGGACATTCAACTCATGTGTAGCTCGCCCCTATCGATTTTTTTGCATTACCGGAATGTCTAGCTTTCGCAATTTGCGCTCTGATATGTCAAGCGATATCTAGAAAAGGTCTTAACGAAACTAATTCGTTAAGACCTTTCGAGAATTGTCGATTTCGAGAAATATCTTGATTTATATTACTTATCTCATTCCTATCCAGAGATTTTCTACCCAAACGGATGACGAACTAAAGATCATAGCATTATTTTTTCATCTTTACTCCAAAAAGTGCAATTCTCAAGAGAATTTATTTCCATATAATTAGACTACATCTATTTGCAGGGAAGCTAGCACATTCTCTCTATTATTATCTATTCTCAGTAGTATGGATAACAATTTTCATCTAAAGCTATTTTGGGTAAATGTTCCAATTCGTCGAACAAACAAATTCCTACGTCACATTACGGATAATCTCGATTGTCTTATAAGACGGAACTGTTCATTTCTAGTGTAATCTAGACGAGTATAACGTCTTTCTTGTAATTTCGAAAGAAGTTCGTTTTTTTTCTTGTCTAACTTTGTAAATTGATCACGAGCCAAATATTTCACAATATCGACAACCGAATAAATATTGCTGTGCTTTTCGAGCTTGGAGTTTTCCGTGATATTAAAACGTCGATATCTTGCCAACAAATCATCGATTTGCGATTTAGATTCACATGAGACCTTTCTCACGATTTCTTCCTTGTCAATACTACTAGCAAGCTTTCATTGCATTTGAAGAGTCATGCTTACTACGATTATTTTGTGCAGCACTATTTCATTCATACTTTTTCTCTGTTTTAAAAATTTGCAAATTTTTTAATAGCTTTATTATACAGATAAATTTTATTTTTAATCGCGGTACTAGTATTGACTTTCGCAACTATTATTAGCGAAATTATTATTAGCTTTGTTTGAATTTTCTATGTCTTTTCATTATGAAAGCGCGTTCTTTAATTGAAAATAATTTCATTTCGCTCAATTCGTCAAACTTCACTGCATATATTTAGTTTAATTATTCACTTTAAAGTCATTAATTCTTGATTGCACGTTATTTATTAAGTTAGGGAATTTATTAAAATCTCTCTGACTGTTCATTATTCTAATCCTTATTAATACATGTAACATCGCGTTCTGCAATTACAATCTCGCGATCATATCTGGTTTAATATCCAAGATATTAAACCTAAAATATCCAAGATATTGAATAAAATTTTGTTTTTATTATTAGGACAAATTTTTAATTTTTTTTTCCTATAAAAATATCAAATACAAGAGCGTCATCTTTTATACAATAAACAAAGCACGGCGAGGACTAAAAATCACTAAATAATCGTGTGTGCACGATATCGGATCTACGCTCGCAGAAATATAACAAGTGACTGTTAGCGTCCCATCAGAACCGGCGCGTAGAAGAGGTTGCCTTTTGCGAGAATGCCTCAAATCATGGCAGAGGCGTTTGCGAGAGGATTGCTAGACAAGATAATGGTAGAAGTTCTGGACGTTATAGATCGCGATGCAGAGGATGGTAAGGTGCAAGCTCGTCTGTACGTCTCGTGAATATAACGACGGGTTGAATAGAGACGTTGTTCATTGATAAATGTCGTTTCATGATGCTGTAACAGCATGGTTTTCAACTGCGATCGACATACATTTCACGAAGATAACTGCGCGCAGAGACGTATAATTATCTCTGTTAGACGCAAATAACATATATATGTTAAATACTGTTATTAGGAAAATCCTGGGAACAGCACGTCACTGAGGAAACAGGCGATGCTCAACTAGAACATGTACACGGTAGACCACAAGCAAACGAACGTACACACATACATTATAGCAAGGCTGACGAAATAGAATTGATTGCAAAGATAGTTCGTGATTTGCGTGACATACGGATTGGAGATTCATGTTATGTTCTTCCGCCTTCATTGTTAACATTGGAGAAACAGGTAATTGGATACAACTTTCCAAGACATAATTATTCTATTATAATCAATTGTTGAGATTATATTTATTGTATATAAGGAAAAAGAGGGGAAAGCAGGAAATAATAAAAATACAAAAGACTTCAAATTATGATAAAATTTTTAATAATAATACAATACTAAATTATTTTATATAAGTATACTATTTTTTTAAGTCTTCAAATTCTAATTTATTTTTAAGAAAAACTTGATACTGTGTTAGCTTCAATAATTCTATCAATTTGATCAAATAAAATTACAATCGCATCTTTTTCGATGTAAATGTATTTAAAAAATGTACTTTTAATTGACTTTTATTAAAAAAATTAAATTAACGGTTATAAAAATCAATTATAACGTAAAAAAAAATAAATTCAACATTCAGTGTCGGACTTTCGCATGTTTATTTCATCACAGACGGCTCTAGTTGAATCGCATGGCTATAATTGCAGGGTATTCACATACGAGAGGTCTTGAGCTTGCGGTTCTCTAGTTTCGCACCTGTGTCACATTAATTCCATGCACGTCTATTATTTCTTGCGCGTGTGTTAGGATGAGAGAATCTACTCACGAGAGACGCGCTTGTCTTTGCTTGAACAGGTGAAATACGCCACGTGCAACGTCGACGATGCACCACTTATGAATAATCCAGCAACCGACATAGCTGAAACTCAACGCACGACCCGAGGTCAAGGCGACACGCACCAGATTAACGCGACAATTCTCGAATCGCTGACTGAACCGACGGAACCGGTGAAGTTGATTCGAAAGAAGAAGGAAGGAGAAGCGACTAACGAGGCGACCAACGTGTCAGTCGATTTATTACAACAATTGATCGAAGATTTAGAGAACAAAACAGTCTCGACTTGCTCTAAGGCTGATGCTCCTTTAAACTCGGTCAGTAAGGAATGCATTGCCGTTTGGGAGGAGAAAGAAGAGCAATTTATTAGGACTATCGAGAGCAATGTTGGCACCAGACATACTACAACGGGGACTCTTCAAGGTAGCGATTCGTTTGGGAGGAGAAAGAAGAGCAATTTATTAGGACTATCGAGAGCAATGTTGGCACCAGACATGAGACTACAACGGAGACTCTTCAAGGTAGCGAATCAAACAATCGCTTCCGCATTGTCAAACTGAAGCACGATGAAAAACTGAGGTCTCACTCAAGTCAATATGTGGCGTCCACCTCGAAGGAAGCCGACCTCGAAGAAGTTCAGATCGAAAAACATGGATCGAATTCGTTATCGTCGTTGAAACCATCGTGCGATGATGACAAGAAGACCGTAGATCAGATACTACCCATCGACGACGCAGAGAAGAGGAAAACGTTTAATGAAGCGACAACGAAAAAGAAGAAGAAGAAAGGCTTTGGCAGCCGACTGAGGAAACTCTTCCGCGCCGCCTTCGGTCGCCAGAAGAATTGATGCTGGGTTCCGGAAGGAAAATGCTACCTCACGATCTACGTCAAATGGCGGTGATTCCCTTCGTTTGCTCGTACAGCTTTTTAGTCGGGTATTTTTTAGAGGGAAACACGCCCATAAATACATAGCGAGTAAAAATAACCGACCGGTAGCGTAGTCACCGGCCGCGGGTCTTCAACATCCAACACACGACTTCGGTGCAACGCGTGAATCAGACCCTCTATACATTTCTAGATGGTAATCGCAAACATTGTACACAAACTCGCAAAATTCTGTAAAATATATAATGTCTGATGATCTCATAATGCGTGTCACATTCTTTAGTTTAAACACTTTAAGTGATTCAGTTTAGAGATTGATAGCTGTAGAGATTACTATAATGATATCGAAGTCTGCAGAATATATTTTTGCTTGATGCGTCCATCGCGCGAGCACTGCAGATCTGGCAATCTGACATAGGAATGCCATCGTCGTCGACGTCGAAGTCTCATTTATCGTAATAGGAAAAGACATTCGCCAACTCTCGCCTCTCTCTCGTTGCTTCTCGAACTGTTTTTGGATCGCGGTGTTGCCATGCCCCGTCGTCGTTGGTCCGGACCGAAACTCCTCTCGCAGATTTGGACCTCAGCATCGTTCGAGGGTGTCCTCGTAGCGCCATCTGCAAAAATAAAATGAGTAAATTTGGTAACACCGGGTACCACTTCTGGTTCAAGCTTCGTTCGGTCAACATCCACTGGTACCAGACGATCGACAATGGTAAGTTTCGATCCCTCTTTCTTTTTCGCGAGAATTTGTCTGACAGCTTCTTCGTGAATGATAAATTTAATAAATTACAGTTAAATCGTTTTTATATAAATATGTAATATGATAGCGAGGTGTTGAATAACTTCAATATAATGAAAAAACTTCCTTGTACTTTTCAGGCAGACCTTAGCAGCAAGGATGTCGAAAGTGAGTAGATTGTTAAATTGTTAACATTTTTGCGTTCCGTATAAATCATATGGAAATAATGAAGATAGATTAATTAATTTGCATCGTAATTAGTGAAACTGTAAGTGATTCTATATATAATTTCGTAGCTTTGAGTCACGCAATTAGAAGGAAGTGAGTGAAGTTTAAATAGAAAAAAATAAAACTTCTATCATGTTACTAAAATGGATAGTAAAATTTGTCAAATCACTTAATTAACTAATGACGTTATTAACATTAAAATAATACATAAGAGATTTTTGCTAAAATTATCATTCTTTATATTTCTAAAAATAGTCTAGCTAATAAAACAATCTCTTCATTAAATATAAATGTTTTATTCTGTAATCATCATTGAATTGTTTAATAAAATACTTAAAAGCTAAAAAATTTTGACTGTTTTTGAAACATTTCATTTACTTTCATTAATACTAGAAAAAAACAAATAACTTCTATAAATTATTTCCATTAACTTCAAGTTAAAGAAAATTTCATTCTTCTTCTAATTTATACTTGTTTTCATATTTATTCTTTTTGGATAACTATTTTTTTTTCATTAAATCCGATAAATCATAACGCGCGAATTTTCTTCGCGGTACTTCCAATTTGCATGTTACGTTCCATTTTTGACGTTACATAACGACTAGGGATCGGTAGGTGGATGTGACCGTTCCGTAGCGCGTCAAAAATAGGTTGGTAGGCTGTTCTTATATGGTTCGGCGGGGGTAATCTGACCCACTACTTCCACCACCGACTTCTTCAATCAGCGGTGGGGTTTACCGCCTCTCCCAAAATAGAAGAATATTTTTGAAGATACGAATGCATGCGGTGTACTTCATGCCTACGGTATTAACCCAGATTTCGCTCACATCGCATATTTAAAAACAATGCCAAATACTCATATCCATACAGTATACATTCAAGTAGCACACAGCGCTTACAAAGCGTTAACAAAGCGCTAAAAAAGCGCAAATAATCGCTTCTTTAGCGCTTTGCAAGCGCTGCTGTGTCACTTGGACATATACATATATGATATATGTATAAAGTTATACAGCAAGATTCTTCTTAATTACGAAGGTCTTTTTATCAAAAACGTTTGATCATTGATCTCCCTTACAGTATAGATGGAAAAGTACATAAGAAATTATTATTTTTGTTAAAAAGGGGCAGAATTCGCCTTCTCCATCTACGATTCAGACGGCACCAACGTCATCGATGCGGTTGATCTTGGCAACGTCCTTCGCGCGTTGAACTTGAACCCTACAAATGCGACCATCGAAAAGCTGGGCGGCACGAAGAAGAAGGGCGAAAAGAAAATGAAACTGGACGAATTCCTGCCTATCTTCAGCCAGTGCAAAAAGGATAAGGAACAGGGATGCTACGAGGACTTCCTCGAGTGTTTGAAGTTGTACGACAAACAGGAAAACGGAATGATGCTCGGCGCAGAATTGTCTCACACACTTCTATCACTTGGTAGAATTTTCTCTTTTTCATCAACAATTATTTACAACTTATAAAAGAAGACAATTAAAATTTGCTTCTTTATTTTTATTATGTATTATTGTATTATACAAATAGTACAATCTTGTTTCTAAAATAGATATCTGTGTGCAGCTTTATTATGTTATGAATAATAAATATTAGTTTGCGATAATATTAACTTTCAAAATATTGTATTGAATATTTTATATTGACGTTTTATTTGTAAAGAAATCATTTAATATGATCTGAATAATCGCATTTATCGTAGGTGAACGTCTTAATGATGACGAATGCGACACAGTGCTGAAGGATTGCATGGACCCAGAAGACGACGATGGTTTCATCCCCTATGCTCGTAAGTATCATTTCGTTTTGGGCCGGGTATCGTGAATGCGCCCCTCCCTCCCTTTTTCCCCCCCCCCCCCCCCCCCCCCCCCCGAAATAAACGAAGAGTGTCGAATCACCTGCCTCACATTGACATAGAATACGTTAGTTTGAAGAAAAATCCTGTATCTATTCTTTAAGGCCCCTAAAACCATTTTGTTAGAACTAGAAAGTCCCCCTTGTATATAATATATAGTTGAGGAACCCCTCGATTTGTAATATGGACCTCCGGTAACTTCCGGCAACATGAAGAAATCCCCCGGATACAATTTGTCCCCACCCCATATCGTTTGACACTTCCACATTTTTGTGTTTCGCAGCCTTCTTGAAGAAGATGATGGTACTGTTGTAAGCAGTTGAGGTGTTACCGAGACAATGATCATCCATCGTAAGTACACCCTGTAGCGTAATTCCATGATTGTCCGCCATTTCTTCGTCTACGTTTTGTTTATCTGTCTCTATCTCTTTATTTGTATCCATTAACATTGTCTCGTCCGCATTTTCCCGCTAAGCATATTCCAGAATTTATAGGACGCAGCGTTGCAGCTCAACGGGGATGCTGGAAATCGATAACCCGCTTCTCGCGCAGAAACACGTACCTACGAAGGTTTTGCTCGCGCGCGGGGTCAATGATCTGACGAGATCATCAAGGAAAATTACATGGAATAAGATTAAATAATCAAGACCGATAAAAAATTAAAACAAAATGAAAAACTATATATTAAACATAACTTTTTCTCTACAACTTGTATTACAGTGTATTTTTAAATGTAATTTAATGTTTCTTTTATTTAAATATCGCGCGTACTTTAATCTTCGTGTAAAAGATCAATTTATTAAACATAAAACAATTTTATTATGCATTTTATATTAATTATACATAATTATATAAATTATATCACATACATGATACTTGTGTTATAAAAACAATTTTTAATGTCCAAACTCTAGTATTTTTTTGCTACGCGAATTATTAATGCTTCTTTGTACATTATTTATGTACTTGTCGTTTTAATATATTTGTTGCTTTGCTATAAGAAAAATCTACATGGCAGCGCAAAATTGAGCACTGACTGCTATTTAAATTAGTTCTAGCTATTTAAATCATTCAGTACTTTTAGCTTCGCGCATAAACTAATTTTCTTTATCTCTGCCTTGAAATATACGTCTATCGTCTCTATGAAAATATGCTTATTCACTTGTCAATGTTTCGCGATTTGCTTGAACGGAATAATATATTGATCGCTCTATTTCGTTCACAGCGTTCCTTCGTAACCTGTGTGAGAGGGCGGCAGCAACCGATGATTAGGATGATTGCTGTCAACATCTATCTGTCAAGCCATGTCGACGATGGACATTCGCCATATTCGCTCGTCACATTCATCATTTTTTTTCATCTCCCCCTTCCCCGCTAGATTATGCGAGGATTCACTTGACAATTTGCATGTAATACGCGATACGATCCTGGAATTAGCAACATCAAAGTATCAGCATTTTATCGAAGAAAAAGCAAAAAAGGAAGAAAGTTCACAAACATTGAGGAAAAGAAAAACAATACTTCATCTCGAATGCACGTAATATTGTTATTTGATTCAGTTTCATACGATACAGCGTCTATATTAAATTTACAGAATGAAAAAAATATTTTAATAATGCTACATTGTACAAAGTCAGATGAAATGGTCGGTATTAATTTACTTCTTATTGTTACTGTAATAAATTACTCCTCTCGAATCAACGGAGAGGATTTAAAAATCCCCCAGTGTTGATATCTTGAAAATCTGTTCGATACATATTACGTTTTATTTTAATATTAATTAATTCTCTCGTTTAATATAATATTAATTTTCAAACAATTATAATTTATATTGCTTGTATGTTGTGAGATCCAAGTTTTAATAACATAAAATATTTTAATATGATAAAATATGATGTCGCGAAGACCATCGGATTAGCATAGATTCTTTATTGCTAGCGTAGAAGTCTGGCTATTTTTGCCTAACTGACATTTTCTTGCTCTACTTAAGCAATCGCGTGAGAAACACGGACAATAAGCATGTCACTGCCAAAATCTATTTAAAAGTTGCATTAGCACGCTAGATTCTCTTTATTATACAAAACATAATAATAGTGTGATCATTAAATCTTTTATAAATTTTAACGTGTTATGCAATTAATACTGTCAGAACACTAATTATTCAAGTAGAACTTTGTCTGGTTATTCGAACTATTTTTGTAAGAAACACGCTAGGTAACTATAAGTGTAAGTAAGATATAACTGTAAGTACTTGAAAACTATCAAAATGTTTTTAGTTGTTTTAAGTCAGGTTTAAAGGATAGAACTGAAATCGATAAAGATAACTTTCGCGCAAAACCACGAGTGGAATTTAGCTGAACGAAATCGTGTAAAACTGTAAATAATGAAAACAATTAACCTCATAAAAATATCGATGCAGTGTTTATATAAAATTCTCATCATGTTGATGTTAACATTAATTAACCATCAATGTGAAATGGATTTCTAATCCTAGATGTTTATATCAATATTATCATGGTGTGGATTTTAATATCATGATGTGAATTTAAATCTTACGGTGCTAAATTCATATCTCATGTTGGTGTTAATATCAACACAATAGAAATTATATGATCACCGCGTGGTGTTAAATCCAATATTTCTTTAAAGTAAATAGTCTTGGAAGCTATCGAATTGTTGTTTTTAGTCGTTTTAAATCAAATTTAAAGTTTTAAGTCAAGTTTAAGAGTAGAATTTAGCCGAACGAAATTCGCGTAAAATTAGAAATAATGAAAACAATAAATTTTGTTACTTAAAAAAAATCAGTAAGGATCATTTAACATCATGCAGGGTTTATATAATTCTCATCATGTTAATATTAAGATATAGATTTGTAAATCTTGGTGTTCTTTATATCAACACTGTCATAATGTGGATTTTAAATCCACACTATGACAGTATTGATATAAACATAAATATATAAATATATATATGATGTTAAATCCATACAGACATTTTTTAGAATGATACGATATCCTTGCACAACCCGGATTCGCGGATCAGTTTAGATTTAGGTCGGGCAAATCCGCGCCAGCTCTCGAATAGAGAAAGATCTTCGGCTGATCTCCAGCGATCATCTGTCGTGACATACATCTCTCAGCATCCACAGCGAGCATGAAAGAGAACGACTCGATCGATAAATCGCGTTTAAGCGCGAATTTCAATCGCGCATGAGATCTTTCTTTTCTCTCGTCTCTCATCGTCATCGTACCTGCCTGATGACGGAGCGCGTTTG